TCCGCCTGAGCGCGGCTGCGCCTCGCTCGAAGCCCGCGGGGTTGTCCCAACGGCTTGGTCTTGCGCGCCAACGGCTCGCGGGGTTGTCCCGACAGCCTGGCCCGCGGGGTTGTCCCAACGGCTGCGCGACGTGACCTGTAGAGAACGCGCCTGTGCTGGCCGTGGCGGCGACGGCGCCGAGGAACATCGACATGCGCGCTCATGCAACAGGAAGGGGAGGAGGTGGCGGGGCGCGGAACAAACAGGGGGGCGAGGATGGGGACAACGTAAGGAGTGGAAGGGGGGCCCGCGCCAAGGCGAGAGGAAATATACGCAGAAGAGACAGCCAGGACGCCTCACCAACCACGAGGACGACGGTGATGGTTTTTTCCAGATTCGCCCAGAGGATTCTTATGCGGGGTTCTTCCGTCGGAGTAATTTTCTTTGGACACCCCGCGCAGGAACACTCACCCCCTCTTCTCCTCGCACTCATTCACACACACATCATCATCACTCGCACTCTCTCACACGCTCACGAACATCATCGTCATCATCGGTATCGGCATCATCCTCATTCAAACATCATCATCGCCACCACCACCCACAATCAATCATCATCCTCTTCACCACTCATCTTCACCACCACTCATCATCCTCATCCTCATCATCGTTGAGTAAAGTGTGAGGAAGTCTCAGGCGGGAGCCCCCTCCCTATGGGGCCCGCAGATCATGTTGGTAATCCGAGCGGGTCATCGGAACCCTGTAACTGTCGTCACTTTTGGGCTCCCCAGGCCTGAAAATGGAGGAAGTCTCAGGCGGGAGCCTCGTCTGTGAGTGAATTGGGAGGAAGTCTCAGGCGGGAGCTCCCTCCCTATGGGGCCCGCAGATTATGTTGGTAATCCGAGCGGGTCATCGGAACCCTGTAACTGTCGTCACTTTTGGGCTCCTCAAGCCTGAATATGGAGGAAGTCTCAGGCGGGAGCCTCGTCTGTGAGTGAATTCTGAGGAAGGCTCAAGCGGGAGCCCCCTCCCTATGGGGCCCGCAGATCATGTTGGTAATCCGAGCGGGTCATCGGAACCCTGTAACTGTCGTCACTTTTGGGCTCGTCAAGCCTGAATTTGGAGGAAGTCTCTGGCGGGAGCCTCGTCTTTGAGTGAATTGTGAAGAAGTCTCAGGCGGGAGCCCCCTCCCTATGGGGCCCGCAGATCATGTTGGTAATCCGAGCGGGTCATCGGAACCCTGTAACTGTCGTCACTTTTGGGCTCCTCAAGCCTGAATATGGAGGAAGTCTCAGGCGGGAGCCTCGTCTGTGAGTGAACTGCGAGGAAGTCTCAGGCGGGAGCCCCCTCCCTATGGGGCCCGCAGATCATGTTGGTAATCCGAGCAGGTCATCCAAAACCTGTAACTGTCGTCAATGTTGGGTTCTCGCGCTGCCAGAACGCAGTTCCCAGGCCACACTTTGGATGCAACAAGGAAGTTTTTGGGCTCCTCAGGTCGCCGAGGTGCTGCGACAGGGCGCCGAAGGCGCCGACGACGACGGCCAGGCCGAGGCGCGGGCGCGGAGCTTGCTGATGTTCAGGCCCAGCGAAAGGGAGTTCACATGGCAGAGCTCGGGGGCGCACAGCGTGCGCCGCTCGGGGTTCACCCTGACGCACGCGTCCTACCTGACCTCCACGCTGTCGCAGGGCCAGACGCTGCGCAAGGGCGTCACCATCGACTGCGCGAGAGACGAGGACGCTGGCCGCACGGGCATGTCGGACGAGCAGTGGTGGCTGCACCTCTACGTCATGTTCTCCCGCGCCACGTGCATGCGGAACATGCTGATCCTGCGGCCGCCGCCGCGAGAGTTCCTGGAGTGCGGGCCGCCGGCGTCCCTGCGGAAGGCGCTCCTGGAGTTCGACAAGAGAACGGTTTTGTCCAGGGCGGAGGCGAAGCAGCTCGCGGCAGAGCTGGGCTTCGTGCTGCCTTCCGCCTGAGCGCGGCTGCGCCTCGCTCGAAGCCCGCGGGGTTGTCCCAACGGCTTGGTCTTGCGCGCCAACGGCTCGCGGGGTTGTCCCGACAGCCTGGCCCGCGGGGTTGTCCCAACGGCTGCGCGACGTGACCAGTAGAGAACGCGCCTGTGCTGGCCGTGGCGGCGACGGCGCCGAGGAACATCGACATGCGCGCTCATGCAACAGGAAGGGGAGGAGGTGGCGGGGCGCGGAACAAACAGGGGGGCGAGGATGGGGACAACGTAAGGAGTGGAAGGGGGGCCCGCGCCAAGGCGAGAGGAAATATACGCAGAAGAGACAGCCAGGACGCCTCACCAACCACGAGGACGACGGTGATGGCTTTTTCCAGATTCGCCCAGAGGATTCTTATGTGGGGTTCTTCCGTCGGAGTAATTCTTCGATTTCGGCTTCTGGATAAGGGCCTCGGGGCAATCAAGAAAGGGTCAGGCAGGACGAAGACCAGACCCCTGGGGGAGGCGTCAGGAGTTCCAGGGCCGCAGATGCAGAAGAGCATCTCCGAAGATGCTTGGGGAAGGCGGAGGAAGGGAAGAGGGAGGAGGAGGGGGAGGGAGAGGGAGAGGGGTCGTCGTCGTCGTCGTCGCCCTTTTCTCGGTCCCCCCTTCGCGTCGTCCCCCTCCCCGCGTCGCCCCGCCCGCCGGCCGGCCGCTTTCCCCGTAAGTGGTCCCCCCCCCGGGGCACACTTGTGCGGCGGGCCTCCTCGGGGCCTCCACGGCCCTTTGGGCCGCTGTGGGCCGAGGGGCGTGCGCAGTCGACCCGCACAGGTAGGTTGGGCAGCCTTCCCACACTTTGGGCGCCTTCGGAAAGTGGTACCCTTTGGATTCCAATCTACTTGAAGCGCCTTTTCCGTCCTCCCTACGGGTTGTAGGAGGCGGGCGGGCGGAACCCAGTCTACTCTCAACGCCTTCCTACCTCATGTTTCTACCTGCTTTTTCCGACCGATGGGTACCCTCGCATCCTTGCCTCCTGCGGCATATCCTTGGCGACTTTCGCTGGCACTCCTCGTTCGAAAAAACACGAACCTGGCCCCCAAGGCCCTTTGCATCCTTACCGTGCAGCCTCAATGGTACCGGCTGACTGCACGGCGGAAACGAAAAGCACCGCGGAGAGAAGTGGTGCTCCACGTGCAATCCGCCGCCGCTTGGCTCCCAGGGGCCCCCGCCAAGGCTGACGACGCATCATCATCATCATCATCATCATCATCATCATCATCATCATCATCATCATCATCATCATCAGCAGCAGCAGCAGCAGCAGCAGCAGCAGCAGCAGCAGCAGCAGCAGCAGCATCAGCATCAGCATCAGCATCATCATCACCATTCACAGTTTCGGCAGTCCTTAGGCCGCTTTGGGGCAATATTGGGCCGCCGTGGAGGCAGATTAGGGGCCGGCTTGTGCTCTCCCGGGGCCGCATTGGCCGTCCCAGAGGCCTCTGAGGCCGTCTGGGGCTGTCAGGGAGGCCATCTTGGAGTCCCCGCCGCCAAAGAGCCCCCCACCTCGAGTCTGCAAATTTGGAACCCCGTGAGGGGGGATGACTTGGAGATCCCACAGGGGTCGGCGGATTTTGAGATGACTGTGCGCGGCGCCAAGGCGAGATCCGCATTTTGAAAAAGGTTCCCCCTCCATCTTTGAATATGTTACAAAAGGTTGGAACGAGTGTGCGGGGCACTAGGCGAGAGCCACAGTTTGAAAATGAACCGCTCTCTATATTCGAAATTGCTGCAAACTTTGAAAGCCAGCGCGCGCGGCGCTACGGCGACAGCCACAGTTTGAAAAGGAAAGGCCCTCCGTCTGTTGAAAATACACTGCAAACTATCAAGACGAATGCGCGCGGCGCGAATGCCAGAGCCACAATTTGAAATGACTGTGGAAACCATGTTTCCTTCTTCATCCTTGCAGCTGCTGTAAATTTCAAGTTTCAGAATCATACGTGACTTTTGGGGACACGATAGGGGCGAGTTACTTACCAGGCAAAGGGAGGAAGGAGGAGGGCGAGAGGAGGAGGAGGAGGAGGAGGAGGACTAGGAGGAAAAGGACAAGGAGGAGGAGCAGCAGCAGGCAGCAGCAGCTGCAACAGCAGCAGGAGGAGCAGGAGCAGGAGGAGGAGCACGACGAAAAGGGTGCTCCAGAACCAACCTCGGCTCCGAGGCATCGAGAGGCCGACCTCGCCCTCATCGGCGAGAGGCTGGGGAGGGCTGGCGGGAGGCGGCGGAAGCGAGAGGTGCGCCCCCTGAGAGGTGGCAGGCTCAGAGGGGCACGGGGGTTGCCAGAGCGGGGCACCCAAGAGTTCCAGCGTCACGATGATGCCACGACGGCCAGTGTTTCTGTCGGCTCCTGGCCGAAGGTGGGGGCTCGAGAGCTGGTGGCGCTTTTCTGGCCCTCTGCCGATCGCTGGAGGCCCTGGGGGACCTCGGGGCACGTCCTGGGAACTCGGGAGAGGAGGGGGAGGAGGAGGAGGAGGAGGAGGAGGAGGAGGAGGAGGGATGGAGGGAGAGACGGAAGGAGCGGCGGAAGGAAGGAGCGGCGGAACGAACGAGGGGACAAGAGGAAGGAGCGAAGGCACGAAGGCACGAAGGAAGGAGGAGGAGGAAGGAGGAAGGCCCCTCGTCGGTCCTGGGCCCTGGCAGGCCCGCATCGGGCCTCCGTCTGACATCCGGGTCTTCTGAGATGAGGAGCGAGCCCCCGGGATGGAACAAAAACGCAGGGAGTACGAAAGGGATCGCGCTTCGCGGCTTGGCCCAAGGACTTGGGCCGAATAGGTGCCATTGTCCAGACTGGCGGCAGGAAGCGAGCGCGGAGGTAGTTGACTTAGCTTCGGGCTGCACACAGACACCCCCAGTATGCGGTGCACGCTGGCTTCGGTAGGCCCTGAGGGTAGTTCGCGGAGGGCTCAACACCCCAGCGCCGCATCTGGAAGTGGTGCTGAGGGCCAGGATTACATTTGGGGAGTGTTGAGGCCAGCCAGGGCAACCTCCAGGGGGACGCCGGTGCGCAACCCAGAGCTTTGCCAGGTTCCTCGCGGGCATTTCGAAGCAGCGCGTACATTGGCGCAGCTCGCGGGTCGACGTCCCTTGCCACGTTGGGGCCGAGCTGAGGGGGCATCGGCGGCAGGATGCCTGGACCGTTGTCACGGAGGTGTGCCACGGGTGCCACGGGCACGCCATGTCGACGCGGCACGACCCGGAACAGTACCTGCACGCCGCCCACACCATTGTGCGCGAGGGTTTGCAGCTGGCGTTGAAGGGAAGAGCGCCCGAGGTCGAGAGCCGCGTGCTGCTGACGACAGACCTGTGCTGCCGCGTGGGCTGCCTGGAGGTATTCCTGCTGCCCCCCGTGGAGCACAGGCAGCACGCAGTCCTCCTGCACTCCAAGCTGATATCCAGGATCTTCCCCACCGCCGAAGGCTTGAGCAGGAAGTTGCTCCTCGGGATGGCAGCAGGCTCCGCAGACGCGAAGTGGCCGGCGAGGTGCGCCTCGCTCGCCGAGGGCGCCGGCACGACCGCTGCGGCAGAGGGCGCCCAGGCCGAGCTCCCACGGGCGACAGCGCTGTCGCGCGCACACTCCGCGCCGCAGCAGTCCTGCGTCATCGCCGAGCTCGAGCCTGCCCTGGAGTTCCGCCACACGGTCAGCCCGAACGACGAGGAGCCCCTCGTCGGGCAGGCGCGCGGGGCCTGCCTGGGCCTCCGCGGCCTCCGCGACGAGCTCGCCCGCGCCAGGGGCGAGCGGGACGCGGCGGCGATGCACGCGGCCCTCCGCGAGGCGGAGCGCGCGCAGCTGCCAGACGGCGAGGCTGCCCTGGCCAGGGCTGAGCTGGAGGCCCTGTGCTGGGAGGCCCGCACTGCCGTGCAGAGGCGGGACGTCGTGCGGCTCGGCCAGGCGCTGGAGGGGTGGTGCATCCCTCAGGCCGCGCAACTCCCGCGCGCGTCCGAGGGGTCGGCGGACGCGCTGCACGGTCTGGCAGCCGCGGCGCGGAAGTTGCGCCAATGGGTGCAGGCGTGCTCCTCCATCCACAACGCGTTCGAGTCCGTTGTGGCCTCGCAGCCGCAAGAGCGGCGCGCGAGATTGGCACACTTGGTCAGGCAGCTCGAGGCCGCGCACGCCCAGGGTCTGAGGCTGCCGCCCGCCGCTGAGGCCGCCTGGCGAAAGGCCTTGTGCGAGGGCATGGCCGCACTGAGCGTGCCCGCCGCTGGGGGGGGGCCCAGCGTGGTGACCCGACTAAGGGAGAGCGCGATGAGGAAGCTGACGATGAGACTGCAGGAAGCGCTGGGGGGTCCCTTGAGCCTCGCGGCCCTGGAGAGCGCCGCGCACGAGGCGGACCGCCTGGGCGTCGCCGCGGCGGCGGGCCCCAGCGCCGACGACACGGGCGGCCCTGGGCAGCTCGTCGCCGAGGTGCAGCGCTGCCGCGCCGCGCTGCGAGCACTGCGCGCCCGCCTGGAGGGTGCCCTGGACGCCCTGCTCGGCAGCGCTGCCCCGACGGGCGGCCTGGAGCCGAGCGCGGGCGCGCTGGCGGCACTCGTGGAGGAGGCGGGGCGCTGCCAGGCCAGGTCGGGGGCCCTGGGCTTCGATGACCCGAGCGTCGCGGCGGGGCGGGCCGTGCTGAGCGCGCGGGGGCTGCAGGTGCGGCGCCACGGTGGCCATCTGCTGGTGCGCCTCGGCGCCGGCGGCGCCCCGCCTTGGCACGGGGCGTCGGAGGCGGCCAGCGCGGAGGTGCTGACGAGCAGGGCAGACGAGCTGAGCCAACGTACCACGACCGATCAGGGCGGCTGGTGCTTCGTGCCCCCAGGCGCGGAGGAGTTCGATATCCTCCTGCTCGGCGAGCCCGGTCTCCGCCGGGCAGTCTTCCATCGAGCCTCGCTCCGCTCGTGGCAGGTCCGCGAGCTCGAGCCAGACTTGGGCATGCTCCGCGTGCTTCGCGCCAGCGATCCTCCGCTCCGATACGCTGTTAGCCTCGGGGGCCCCGCGGCCGCGCCAAAGGGGTGGCGGCCAGGTACCGGAGTGCCTCTCGCGCTGATCGGGGAGGACTCTGGCGGTATCGCGTCCGCCTCCCAGCCCTCGCCCGCGCTGCGGCGGCGCCTCCACGGGGCTGCCGCAGGAGCGCCGGTGGCCGTGGCACTCTCGCGCGGGCGCCGCCCGAGCAAGGAGGTCGGGGCGCCCCAGGACTACACCGACGACGGCGGATGGTGCCGGCTCAAGGACCCCAGTGCTGGGGCGGTGCGGCTCTGGCCACCGCTCGACGGTCAACGGGCGTATCAGCCAGTGGACGTCGTCATCGCAAGCTTGCCGACGGAAGTGGAGCTGCCACCAGCGCGCAGTCCCAGCGGCGGTGGCACCCCGAGCAGCGCGGCGAGTGCGTCTTTCGGCTCCGCCACGGAGGCTGGCAGCGCGTCCCTCGGCTCCTTCAGCACAGCTGGGCAGACAGTGCAGGATGACCACACCTGCCAGCCCATCGGACTGGAAGGCCAAGCCTGCTTGCCAGATGTCAGCAGCTCCCTCGCGGCGCGCCGCCCCTCCCAGCTGCGGCTGCGCCTTGCGGAGCGGGCGGCCTCCTCTCCACGGCCACTGCCGGCAGAGGCGACGGCTTCGCCTCGGCAGCAGCCAACAGAGTTGACACTCTCGGCGCACTCGGCCCGAGCGGCGGTCGCGGAGACACTGGAGCTGAGCACCTCTCCAAGCCCGGCGGGAGCGGCGCTTGCAGAGCCACCGGTGGAGGAATCGGAGTCGGAGCTCGCGGCTTTCCCAGGCGCGGCCGTTGCTACGGCCTCGGCAAGCCCAGCGGAAGCGCGCCCACCTGCGCGGCAGCCGCAGCCGGAGGAGCTGCCGTATCCGGCATTTATCGCAGCCTCGACGCAGCCAGCGGAGGGGCCAGCGCCTTCACCGCAGCCATCGGAATTGACGGCCTCGCGGACGCCACGGCGAGCGGAGCTGACCAGCTCGCCACGCCCACCAGCAGCGGCAGCTGCGGAGCAGGGAGCCCCCAGCCAGCAGCGAGCAGACAGCGACGGCCAGCAGCCAACGGAGTTGACACTCTCGGCGCACTCGGCCCAAGCGCCGGTCGCGGAGACACCGGAGCTGAGCACCTCCCCAAGCTCGGCGGGAGCGGTGCTTGCAGAGCCACCAGTGGAGGAATCGGAGTTCGCGGCTTTCACAGGTGCGGCCGTTGCCACGGCCTCGGCAACGCCAGCGGAGGCGCTCCCACCTGCGCGGCAGCCGCAGCTGGCGGAGCTGCCGTATCCGGCATCCATCGCAGCCTCGACGCAGCCAGCGGAAGGGCCAGCGCCCTCACTGCAAGCACGGCCATCGGAATTGACGGCCTCGCGGTCGCCACGGCAAGCGGAGCTGACCACCTCGCCACGCCCACCAGCCCAGACCCCCGACGTCGTGATTCTTTCACAACGTCGACCCCCAGAGATCTGGACCCCTTCCCTGGGACCGGTGTTTCATCCTGACTCGCTTTCTGACGGTCCCGAGGCCCGCTAAGGG